GGAATAAATAATCTTTGACTTTGACTTTGACTTTGACTTTGACTTTGGTCGAGTCGAATAATGAAATACATATAATATTAATCTTGAAAATTTTGTTCATTGTGTCAGGGTTCCGTCACTCGCCTGAGGTTACGCTATATGTGCCTACCACTTGTCGCCGGCAGTGCAAGCGTTCAGAGGGTGTTGCACGCACATCTGAATTGTCGCACGGCACGTTTCGTAAGAAAAATCGTCGCAAGGTCGCAATTGCGTAATTATTGTTTAGTGAATGGATGTAAAATGAATGATTCTCAGTGATTTAAATATTAAATCATCATCATCCTCCCATTGCAGGGCACAAGCGTCCTCTAAGAATAGAACTTAGGCCGTACTCCGCCACGCAAGCCCAATTCTGGCTGGGGACTTCACACACAAGGCAAGTTTTTCAATTACATTACAATCCTTGTACAATCCTAGCGTATTCAGTTCCGCACGACTGCAACGTTATTTTCACCTCTCTGACCGCGTGCTTTTTTCAATTTTGTATGAGAGTGATGTATCTGTTAAGTTGTCTGTGGTTGTGCTTTTACTTATAGAAGCTTCGACTTGTCGATTTGTATCGTAATTAGAAATTCTTGCACTTCGTTTAAATTTCCGACTACTGCACTCGTAACTCTTTATGTTTGTTATATCAGGTGGCACTCTGTGCAAATAATTTATCGATGTGACTCCTGTGATTGACAATTCCTGTGATGAACTAACACTAGGAGCTACAAATTTGTTTATTGAATGAATTAAAAAGTACTAAATAGGAGAGCATATTCTACCATCCTAAGAGACCTATCAGTGAAACTATAACCGGTAGATAATAGGCAGGCAGAAAGAAACTATTTACCTCAAAATTTACTTCGTTTCCAAAATAACAGTACAGGATTAATTCAGTTAAAACACAGCACATGTACATTATCATCGAAACGAACTCCATTGAAGCTGGGTTTATCTGTAAAATATCTCAAAAAATAGCCAGTTTAATAACTCAGTCACCCTTGTATTCACGCATTATTTAGCTGCTTAAAATCATTATAAATTTAATGTTTTACTTAATGTTAATACAAATAAATACTTACGTTGACCGTTCTATATGCAGTTGTACAAATAATCCATCCGCTTACAAAAAATAGGTAGAAAATAACTCCACCAAAAACTTCTTGTACTTTTCCATGAAACCTAAAAAGGATATTGTATTTGAATGAACAAATTTATTAGACAAAAAGTTAAAATATACAGGCAATGTATAATAAAAGCTTAAATACTAAATACTAGGATTAAATTATAGGAATGAAACAGGGTCCCCTCAGTAAGGTGCCCAAGATGCTGGCAGCATGCCCCTATGCTGATAGGTTGGGCAAGGTAGCCCTTGGTATTATATTTTGTATATTTTTTAAGGGCGTTTTGTCCCACTGCTGGGCAAAGGCCTCTCCCTTCTTTTACAATTGCTCTCGATCTTGAGCAACATCTGGCCAGTCCCTTCAAAAGGAGTTTACGTAGACATCTTTTTGTACATATAATTTAATTAAAATTTGTTTGTTATCTTTACAATCGCTACACTCTCCCTGCATTACAGAAAAGATACTAAAACAGCCAAGTTAACTCATTTGGAGGTTAAAAATTATTATAAGTAATATTCAGCTTCACCTTAGAAGAAAAATACGCTTAAAACCTTTATAGGCTTATAACATTTGCCCTCGCTGTCTTATAACAAACATTGACTGCCTCCATGACCGAACGATTACTATGCTGGACTGCCACGCAGAATTCCCGGACCAGGAGAAATATTTGTATGGTCTACATATATTTATCTCTTCAGTTTGTACTATATGTCTATGTCTGTACCCATGGCACCCACGATATAGGGTTTCCTTAGTGCGGGGCTATGAGTGCGTGCGTTAAAAAAAACATTGGTTGTTTACGAGGATAAATCATTTGTAAATACTCGTACTATGTACTTAACTAAATCATGTAACAAATAACTCGATAAAACTAGTTATGTCGTGTTTATCCCTACAGTAACTTATGAGAAGAAGTTATCACTAGTTAGCTAAAACTTCTAGACATGGCTTACTTAATAATTTCATCGTAATATATCATTATCCTAGTGAACCGCTCCTGAAGCACTACCGATAAAGGCCTTGATAAACGTGATGCTTCCTCTTTGCTTTTTTCAGCTACATTTTCTAGCTCCAGTCTGAAAATTGAGTACTCCAATAAGATGCTTTTATTGAAATACGATACTTAACTAAACTTATAGATACAGTACACGTGGAAATTAATATTAAAAGGTAATGAGAGAAATAAATTGTTTTATTACACTTTAAACTTAATAAAACTTCTACATTGCACATGTATGAAAAGAACACAGGCAAAATTTTACTGCGTATTTTATGTATAATCCCTAAGTCCCTGAGATGTACGTTTACTTCTCATACGAATATAAAGGAATATACAGAATGTTTTAAAGTTCACCTGAGAATAGACAGTTGCGTTTTGCACTGAGCTAGAAAGAACGATATAAAAGCGTCCATTGTGGTATTACTGAAAGCAACCCATGACGTCTGTATCCATACGTAGATCACTACTATATAGAAGCTGGGAAACAAAGTATAAAATGTAAATAAACAAAGTACTATACGTTTACAGCTTGTGGCGAAAATTATTACGGCGTAGCGGCGTCTACGTCGTAGGACTGAAACATTAGTATTTAAAAGTATAATTTTTTACAGATATTTAGCTACATTTTAAACCTCTCACGGGTTTCCGTGTTTTAGTAAGTGTGAATACCTATTTTATTATGTGTGAATATTAAATAAATAAATAAAATATAGCATTACTCTTCAAGATTATCCTTGACGAATTATTATACGTAGCAGTATTAAATAGCATGTTATAATTATCTTATAATAATAAGATATTTTACAACCAACTGGGTGTATTAAAATCTAACTAGATACGGAACAGATATTGTACTAGAAACTCACTCATATACTGTAAGTAATACGTTAGGAAATATCAAATATAAACTCACTTCGGGCTCGTGTTAGCGTCAAAGGGCAACCATATCGCAAATTCAACGGACTTGCCTTGTGCATACAATATAACCGGGTAGAGGACCCAGAGGAGACAGGTAGAGAGAGCGGCGTTGTTGAATGCCCGCAGGAGCAATCGGGCCTGCATCACGGTTTGAGAGAGGTGCTCCTGGTGATGCGTCGAGTCTTGGTTAAATATCGGACCTGAAAGACATACAGGTAAAAATAACCCATTTTTTACTCATACAGACAACTATAACATCAAAACTTTAATTTCATGCAATTTTTACGTTCTTCTTCTTATCGTATCGATGATATATATACATTAGTATGTCATCGATAAGAACGTAAAAATTGAATGCATGAAATTAAATTTTTACTATAGTGACCCAGAACTCAGAACTTGAATTTTTACGTTAACATTATAACGATATCTTTTTAAATTCCATTCTGCTAACACTTATTAACGCTACTTTTGTAGTTAGTAGTCATTATTTATAAATGTTTTATAATATACTGTAATGTATAGAAACTCCACCTTTCATAATTTCAAGAATTTCTTCGATTTTGTCAGCTTTAATCCACAGTATCATCTGTTTGTAAATACTATCAGAATGTGTCAATAATAAAAACATAGTATTCATGACTTTGTTTGCGTCGTTGCGCACCTAAAAGATGATTAAACTTTATATTTTTTAGTAATGTTTCTTAATGATATTTCTTCTAATTTGCAATTAAAAGCTTTAAAAAAAAGTTTACTTGGTATATTTTCAAAATCTGTTGCACCATGAAGAGTAAAAGAAGGATCAGAATTATTTTCATATAGATACTATGAAAAAGTTTATGAAGCTTCGGTGAATGAGGATTTAATTGATAAATCCCACAAACGTGCAAATTTTTTAGATGAGGTGCTAAGCTAATAAAGGATAATTTCTTGTCCATTGTCTCCAAAGAAACTTTGTTTCTATTCATGGTATTTTATTTTTATGTGAAAGGAAACCCGAGTTAGTGTGACCAGAGTTGAAATCAAAATAGGCTTTCAAAAGTTTCAGTGTCTTATTTATAATTTTCATTACATCGACGATACTGCCATCATTTTGTTATCATATAATTACACATTGGTGCAATCTGACACCCCGTCTGAGAGCTATAAATAATATCACAATTGCAGAGTAGGTATCGGAATTACAGAATTAGAAAGCTAAACTTTTGTTCAAAAGTATTTTGAAAAAATGCTTAAATGAAAATAAAAGTACTATAGTTTCTGTCTATAGTTTTTGTTTATATTACGCTTTAAGTATATTTTTTCTTTTCCTTTTATTATTATGTTTTTATTATTGTACTATTATTACATTTACACATTTCATCTATTTATAGATAAGTCCGGAGATCGGAATACTGTAGCACATTGGTATACTAGTACCGGTTTCGCTCTCTCATAGGCTTAACAAATAGTACGTAACTTTTACAGAGCGGTCTTAAGGTCAATGGCATAGTGATTGGAAATAAATTATTATTATTATTAATTTGAAAAAAATAAATTATATCGAGTTCTTAGGTTTTCGCGATTGTTGCACATAGGAAATGAAACTGTTTTACCGGATTTAAATCGCGTATATTTGTTTTTTCAAACAAACCTTTTTGTTTTGTCAACCAAACCTGTTTGTTGTTGTTTGTGAAAATAAATTAATTGTATAGTACGTTTAAATGATACTAAAATACCTTAACAAGAAGTAACTCAACCCACACAGCAAAAATTAAACATTTCAATATTAAAGTTTGCGGAAATAAAACGTGAAAGAGAATTGGGGTCTTTATTTAGCTTCAAAGCATTAAATGACTCCTTGCTTTCGGGGGGTAGCTGTCAAAACGAAAAAATTCCGAGAGGGTGTGAGGTAGCCCTTTTCTACGAACGCTGTTCGTTAACTATATTTGTTTTATATTTTCTACTTTTCATTTGCAAAAATGAAGCGCTTTTAAGTAAGCCGTTCTCACAGGTTATTTAAAAGAGAAAAAAGGTTTGGTGGTAATCTATTTTTGGAAGTACTTATTTGTATTTGTTGCCATGCCGGGTACGATTCCCGGGCAGGGTAGAAATATTTCTTTGGTCTACATTTATTTCTCTCGTGAGTTTATAATTTGTGGTTGTGTATTGTAGCCGTGAGACCCAAGTAGAAGATGATGAGGATCCCGACGAGCTCGTAAAATTAAAAGACGATTTGAGTTGACTGTAATGTATTGGCAATAGGTTATTGGTTTATGGGGGCCATTAATCGTTAAACACTGGTGGTTTCTTAAAGAAGTACAATTCGAAAGTGGACGTCCTTTTTGATCTTTTTGAGTTCATACAAAAAATTCGTTATATTGTGGTAGAGGTGAATTAACATGTACGTGGTGTTAGTTGATTGGTTCAAAAAAGGCACCTACGTGTGTGCCTCTGGCGAGCGCTTTGAAAGTTATATTAAATTTTACTACAAAATTCAATTGCGTTCGCAACATATTCCCGGGCGTTGAGTGTACTCAACATAACAAATGAAAAAACGAAATAATGCTTTATACATAATTATTATGGGCAAGCTATAAGAAGTGGACAGAGGTTGTTGTATGCTCTCCTAAAAACGCCTTTCTTGGCACGAATATCGGCGACTTTGGCGACGTTATCCTTACCCGGATACAGCCTCACGACTCGCCCAAGCAGCCACAGAAGCGGTAGAAGCCCGCGTTCTATGATGAGAACCAATGTGCCGATCTGCAAGTTGTCTGCTGACGAATGCCATTTCATCTTCTGCTGGAGGAGAGTAATGTACTCATTAGCAAATCGATTCCAAAAATGTTGCTTGAGTTTTTCAATTCTTTGGACCCTCTCGAATCGTGTAATATTTGCTTCAGTCAGTGATGGTTGTGGGACTGACAGAAGCGAGCGTCTAATAAAGAAATGAGAGGGTGAGAGGTAGGTGAGATCAGGTGGATCAGTAGATAAGTGTCTTAGGGGTCTAGAATTAAGGATACCTTTTATCTGTATCAGGCATGTGTTCATCTCTTCGTAAGTCAAATAAGTTAAAGTGAGAACTCGTCTTAAGTGATGTTTTACACATTTAGTGGCAGCCTCCCACAGCCCCCCAAAATGAGTGAATAAGCCGGAATAAACTTGAAATTAATATTTTGTTCAACCATACCTGATTGCAAGGAGTTACAGTGATTTTTTTAAAAGTTATCAAGCTCATTCGAAGCCCCGGAAAATGTAGTACCATTGTCAGAATACAGAGTTTGAGGCTTGCCCCGACGAGGCATGAACCGGCTGAGAGCAGCAAGAAAGCTTGTTTGGTTAAGCTCGTGACAAGTTCCAGGTGAAGAGCCTTTAACTGAAAGACAGACAAAAATTAATATATATGATTTAATTGTTATACTACCCCTACCCTTACGATAGGCTATCAGCACTGAATCGGCGTAATCCATCCATATGTGTAAAAAAGGGTATTCTAATTGTGTTCGATCTGTAGGTAAGTCGCCCAATATCATTTGAAAGGGTTTAGCCTTAAGCCTAATGCATCGAATGCAATCGCCTACTATTTTTCGAGCAAAGTTCCTACCACCCAGAGGATAAAATGTTTGCCGTATGCTTGAAAGCAATAGGTGGGGTGGGGCGTGCAACAAAGCTATGTGTTGTGTAGCGAAAATTAATTTTGTCAAATGATGTTTGCCACACAGTGAAATTGGGTGCTTAACGTCATAACTATAATAATAATTCTTAAGACGACCGCTGACACGCATTAAATTATGTTAATCTAAAACTGGTGTTAACGAAAGCAATCGACTTTTTGATGATAAGGGTTTCCTTTACGAAAGCAACAGGAAACATTTCCTTTTGTGCTAAGTGTAGCAATTTATTTTTACATGTTTGTATTTCTGTGTAAGTTAAATTAGACGTGATTTTTTGAATTTTATTTTTGCAATTGTGTAAAAATCGATAAATATATGCTAACATTATCTATGTTTGTGTGTGTGTTTATGTGCAGTGAAGTTTCTGGCAGTGTTTCATTTCAAGTTTCTTTGTATTAGCTGAAGAAAAGCTGGACCTATCCACCCCAGTGTGGATGTGCGGATGTCATTAGCCTTCATCCCCCGTGACACGAGATCTGCCGGGCTAAGTTCAGAAGGTACGTAACGCCACGTCTGTCCGCGCGTGCTTTCTTGTGTCTCATTTACACGGTTACGAACAAATTGCTTGAGACGGTTAGATGAATCTGTGAGCCAGCCTAACACTATCATGGAATCCGACCAAAAGTAACTACGATTAACACTCACGGTCAATGATGTTACGACCTTTGTCCAGAGTCTTGCACCCAACAAGGTTCCTCAAAGTTCAAGCCGAGGAATTGTGGATGACTTAAGAGGAGCCACCTTGTTCTTTGAGGCCATAAGACGAACGCAAACTGCTCCATTTCCGTACACTGTCCTGACATAGACTGATATGCCATATGCTCGTTCAGACGCGTCTGTGAAAACATGTAATTGAATTACTGACGGTGAGTCGCTGAGTATCCATCGATATATTCGAAGTTCATTTAAATTTGAAAGTGATACTGCGAAAGAAACAAATTCATTTTTGATGTTTACGGGAACCTCGTCGTCCCACTCACATTTTTCTTGCCAAAGCTTTTGTATAATAAATTTAGCTTCCACTATGCATGGCCCGACGAGTCCCAAAATACTTAAGTTACTTGACTTATCACTGATAAAATGTTACGTTTTGTAATTTTTTGAGGAATTTTGATGTCTATAGAGAACAACTTATGATCTAAATTTGAATTCCAATACAAGCCCAGCATTCTACAGGTTAACGTACTGTCAAGATTAAGAGCCTGCTGCTATCTTCTTTCAATACAAAATTTGATTTTAATAATTCGGGGCAATTGGATTGCCATTTACATAAATTAAACTTTGCTGACTCTAAAGTACTCACAACGCCTTTGCTTATGAGTCAATGGAGTCGCTGCCACTGAGAAAATCGTCAACGTCAAAGTTGCGTTGTATTGCAGGTCTGACGCGAGGATCATGGCATTGATCAGCAAGAAAAACTAGACACTTTGTTGCTAGATACGGTGCCGACGCTGGCTATACGTGGCCGGCTCGAAGGACCATATGTAGCCGCCAGACCCAAGTAGAAGACGATGAGGATCCGGACGAGCTCGTAAATTTAAAAGACGATTTAAGTTGACTGTAATATATTGGCAATAGGTAATAAATAAATAATAATTTACGGGAGTAGTGCCATTAATCGTTGAACAGTGGTGGTTTCTTAAAGCAGTACAATTCGAAAGAACGTCCTTTTTGACCTTTTTGAGTTCATACAAAAAATTCGTTAAATTGTGGTAGGGGAGAAATAACATGTATGTGGTGTTAGTTGTTTGTTTCAAAAAAAGGCGCCTACGTAATGTGCCCTAGACGAGAGTTTAGTTAATGCTTTGAAAGTTATATTAAATTTTACTACAAAATTGAGTTGCGTTCGCAACATGTATGAATTTGTCCACGGCACCCGCGATACAGGGTTTCCCATGTGTCATTATTATTAGTTGTTATTATAATTCGCTAACTTTATGTTACCTTAATAGATGTTTTCTAAAGCCATATCCAATACTTTCTTGCCTCATGGTAAATAATAAAATTTTACGCTATTCTACTGTTTACTGTGTACACGCCTTCTGAAGACGTTTATTACAACAAGTCAAACATGTATAATTATCTAACAACAACTTTATAGCAGGTGATTATTTAACCCATAATCACATAACATTCGTCAGTTTTATATTATTAAAGCCATACACTAGTTCTTGGAATTTGTTTCTGTTTTCGTAATATAAAAGGGAATGCACTCTTTGTTGTTGTTTGCATTTATTTACATTTTATTGACAGAGCGGTAGTAGCCAATGGGAGAAAGGTAG